TCTCTTCTCTCTGTTTTTGAAAACCTATTTTAAGAAAATAGTCAATCCAGTTGATTTGGTCCATGAAATGGGTCCAATAATGGTGTAGTTGGATGGGGCTTGAAAAGAGTTGTCCAACGATATATTATAAGCCCGATTCCGATGAATAATGAGGAAGTTATGGCCAAATTATTAAACTGGGTCCGGTTTGATGCGGCCCAATGATCTAGAGGAGGGCCGAATATGGATTTATCATTCCTGATGCAATTAGAATTGATTTTAGTCTTCTAGATTCTTCTAGAAAGTTCTTTTCATTCCTAATTCAATTATCATTGATAAATTGACTTTGTTTGGCTTTTTAAAGTTTTAATCAGAATAAAAGAGTGATTTTAAGGAAAATATGATTTTGCCCTTCTGTACGGCTAAATTTTATCTGAATTGAGAAAACGCCTGAAAATAATTGTTAGCGCCTGACGAAAGGGATTAGCGCCTGGCGTTAATGCTTGGTGCCTGGCGCTAGCCTTAGCGCCTGGCGCTAATGTTCAGCGTCTGGCGCTAATCTGTTTTATCCTTGTTGAAACTCTGTTTTTTTTTTCTATCCGTTTGGCTTATTTTCTCTATAAATAGCCTCCTAAAACCTCCGTTTTTCATCATCAAAAATCATCAATTCTCCCTAATTCTCATCAACAATCATCAAATATCATATATTCTCTAGTTTTCTTATTCTCTCTAGTTTTTAAGAATTCTTCTCTCTCTAACTTTCTATACAAGATTCCGCATTCACAAGATCTAGAAACACTTAGCCAAATTCGAAGTTGTCTTCGCCCTAGACGTGAAAGGTTTTAATTTCTGAGGGCTTGGTCCCAAATCTTTATTTCAATTATTTAATTTAATTGTTTGTTTTATTATTTTCCTTGAAGTTATTAACGCGTGTATTTTGTTATTAGAAAGAGGTACGAGGCATCTAAGTAAGTGCTTTAATGGTTTTATTGATATTATGATATAGAAATCATGTCAAGGTTATTATTATGATTTCTAGTGTCATGTTCGGGCGTTTTGATCTTCCTAGTATCATGTTTAGGGTAACTTTAATATCAAATATGACAATTATGATGCTTCTTATGTTCTTTCTAATATATCATGTTAGTATCATGTTAGGGTTAAATATTTTATCTTTATTGCTTAGTGACATACTAGGGTTTGTTATTAATCTTGTTAGTATCATGCCTAGGATCTTGCTATTATTATGCTTTAACATGATTATGATAATTATGATTATTTATTGTTATGATGATTATTATGTTGCTTGATTATTTATTGTTATTGCTTGATCACGCTTTTTATGCATGTTTAAAGGGAATTAGTATTTGTAATCACGCTTAATAAGATAATTAATAATCTTGTTTAGGTTTAATATGATTATAACCAAGTGATCGCCAATATTAGGTTTATTTGTGCATTAATATTCAACCAACATAGATAAACAGGTTTAGGGTTAACCTAATGATTGCATGTTAGTCAAAAAGCGCACATGAATATGATCAGAATAAAATAGAGGCCTATTATTAGGGCAGGTTCAATCTCTTTTAGGTTGGATTTGTACCTTCATCCCTGAACTACCAGTCATGGTTCCAGACCTATTGGAGTTAACGATCTCTTGGATCGTTAAGGGGTGTAATCTTTACCCTGTGAACGGTTTACAAGTTCCTAAAACTTGTTAGCTACTCTTTTGCTCTAGCTTCCTTCCCTTTGGACGCCACCGTAATTTAGTGTATGAGGATCACAGTGAGGTTCAAGTTTGGGGTAATGCTTGAAATATTCCCTACAATTATATGATTAGTACACTAATAATCGATAATGAATCTGCTAAAGACTATTCGAGAATTGAACATTTTAAGCTCAAAAACATTCGGGTTTCTTTGCTTTCATATGTGCCAAATAGCTATGGTAAAAGTCATTTTCCAATGATTATCAAAGGCAAGATTAAATCGAATCCATTCATTCCAATTCAAAGAAAATAAACTATGAAAGCTAAAACCAGTAGGGAGCTGAATTTTTGCAAAAATATCCTTCCACAGGATAGAAGAAGAAAAGGAGTCTCTAAAAAGATGAATATGAGATTCATCTAGCACATAAAGGAGAAATCAAAGCCATGATGAGAGCTAGCTTTTTAGCCACTGGGAGGATGCTATTAACTAAGTTCCAAAGAATCATTCTATACTTTGAAGGCACTGTGACTTTCCATAATTATTTCCAAGAAGAGAAAAAGGGGAAGGGGATATAGGAGGATGAGATAAGAGAGTTATAAGCAGACTTAATAGTAAACTTACCTGATTTTGAAGCAGTCTAGTGAATGAAGTCATCAAAGTTAGAAGCTTTAGAAATAGGAGTAGCCAGAATTTCCGAAATTAGAGAAGCATGAAGGAGATAATTTATCTCATCTAAATACCAAACCCCATCCTTGATGATATTACTAACTAACCAATGAGATTTGGAGGGGGCACATCACTAGAAATAAGAAGATAGATAGGAGCTTTCCCTACCCAATGGTGATACCAAAGAGATGTGGTAGCATCATTTCCTATCCCAATTTTCAATCCCGAGGCAAGAAGATGTCTTCCCTTAAGGATATCCCTCCAAATAAGAGATTGAGAAGACTTTGGAGTGCAATAAAAAAAGAGTCGAATTCTTCAAATATTTTTCATTAAAAATTCTTACCCGTTACTTCGAAGGGTTATTCAAAAGAGTCCAGCCAAGTTTAGCCATAAAAGAGACATTCCATTCCCTGAGTCTTCTAATACCCAAACCTTGGCAGCTAAAGGCATAGTGACATACTTCTAAGCAAGTCTAGGACTGTAATGTATATTGTTTACCTTATTTCATAAAAAAATTCGACACCTTTGCTCTAGTTTGTCTAACACAGTGACAGGAATGAGATTAGTTTGCATATGTTAAACAGGATAAGAATTCAAAACCGACTTGATCAAAGTACATCTCCCAGCAAGATTTAAAAGCTTTGCCAGCCATCCCCTAAGCCTATCCATACTTTTTTCTAGAAGACCAAAATAATGGGAAGGTTTAAGCATGTTAGGACTAATCTCAATCCCAAGTATTTACCAAACGAAATAGCACATTTAAAGCCAAAGGAATGGGCAATGTTAAACCTAATCAAATGGTTCATTTTAGGTGAAAAATCATGGAAGATTTGGAGTGATTTAACCTTAATCCTGACATATAACCAAAAAGGTTCAAAACTTTCATCATCTCATTAATATTCTCACTATAAGAGTTTCCAAAGAGGAAAACATCGTCTGCATAAAAGATATGAAACATGTGAATGGAAGGAGTAGGCTTAATAGGTTTCCACATACCTCTTTTAACATGTTGCTCAATCATAATGTAAAGCCTTTCTAAACAAAGGACAAAAATATAAGAGGAAAGGGGATGACCCTGCCTTATACCACGAGAAGGAGTAAAAGAATCACAAATTTCACCATTCCACAAAACTGAGATAGTAGGAGAACATATACAATTCAAGATTAGCTTGCTCAAGGAAATAGGAAAGCCAAAAAAATTTAAAGTATCCTCAATAAGCTTAGTGAGATCAAGTTTAAGAGCACAGATATTTTTTTCCTTTTTTAGCTTTCTTAAAAACATGAGCAATTTCCTTCACCACTATAATATTATCCTCAATACCTCAACCAGGGATGAAGCTTGATTGTAAAGGATTAATAATTTTGGTGAGAAAGGGTTGTGTCCTATCTGAGATTAACTTGGTGATCAATTTATAGCTAGTATTACACAAACCAATAGGTCTAAACTCCGAAATTTTGGAAGGAATTTCAATCTTTGGTATAAGGTCTGTGTAAGACCTATTAACACTAGCTAGAACTATTAACACTAGCTAGAACCTCACAGGAAGTGAAGCAGTTAAGCACAAAATTATAAATGGAGGAGCCTAAGTCAAACCAAAATTATAAATGGTATAAGGTATATGTAAAAACTGAGGCTGCACACCATCTGGTCCAAGGCATTTCATAGGACTCATTTTGAAAAGGCATAGAAGGAATTCGAGACATAGCATTACGATTAAGGTCAGTTAATACGAAATTAGGCTCATAATTATCCTGATGATTAAAAGATTGCAATTTTGACTTAAACATATTCGTGAAATATTCTGTAGCCAAAGATTTTAATTTGTCACAATCTTTAATTCAAACCTCATTGTCATCCTTAGGCGCCAAATTTTACCTTGACTTTTTTTAAAAAGGTAAAAAAGTTACATTAAATTAATATCTTAGTATATCTTATGAATGACCCAAAACAAATTTAACCTATTATTTAGGATTCTATTTCTGCTTAAGCCACCATCAGTAACGCAATGCATTTTCTTTTCAACCCCTAAATATTTTTTTCCACGGGTTGGAGAGAGATGTCGGAGAGAATGGTCAATGTTCCAAGATCGCATCGCAGATGCTGAACAAGCCTATTTCGAGTCTTTGGGATTTACTGTCAATAACACAGCTCGCTATCCTACCCAAATGTAGATCTGAAATCACTTTGTTTCCGGAAATAGACAAGTCACTAGAACTGGTATGGTTGGTTGAAGTACAAACATTCGTCAGACAGTCTCCCTAGAGGTATTCTAAGAGGCTATTGAATTGCATTGCATGGAACTCTTTTGTAGAATCCTTTAACATTGCTCAGTTGCTTTGAGTAGAGCCCTGTTTATATAACAGCTACATGTATAATAGATTAATAGTACTAAATAAATTCTATTTTCTGTGGTAAACGTAGATTAAGGGTGGCTATTCAGTATTCATCTCGGATTTGGGCCTTATCCCATCAATCTGAAATAACACTCAATTTTGACATACGCAGTATTGAAAATAATCCTGATACCAACCTGATTCGATCAAATCAAATCCATAGTCCAAATAAATATGTTATAATCGGTAGAAATTTGGCCTAAAACCTCAATAATATATGACAATCAGCCAATGACACCAATCTAGCCCTTGTTTCGCACCACAAAGCTGTTACTTAACATAATGTAATGGTATAGGTAGGAAAGATTTTACATTACTACTTCCACAGTTAAAAGAGCATCAAACAAGCATTGAAAAATAAATTAATGCAAGATACAGGCTTTCAAAAGTGCCTGAGGACAGGACATCTGATATACTAATGTTTGTTTCAATGAACTCGATCTACTATTTTTCTGTACTAATCTAATATCCAAAATTAACAATGTTTAATATGACTCAGATTTACTATCCGTTGTACTTCTACAAAAAAACAATAGCATAACTTCCCAAAGTATAAACAAAAAAACCGCTCTAAACCTTTGTCAGAAGCAACATGGATTTGTGCAGCTAGAGGTACCTTTTTGTAATTTGATCCTCTAGTTCTTGGAATTCATAGGCATCATCAGCAGTGTATTCCCCTGAATCAATGAAGAAATACAATTTCAGATTCAAAACACAGTGCAAGTGCTACTTCCAGAACGAAAGTATATAATTAAGTTGCATTATTCATTAATATGTCCCATGTCCAAATTAATACTTCCTCCGTTTCTTTTTAGTTAACACGTTTCTTTAATCACGTTTGCCAATGCACAAATTAAATCATTAATATCTTTAATGACCAATAAGCAAAAATTATAAAAAGTTGATATTTTGAAAATATACATTGTGATGAATCTAATAAGATCTCACTTGACTATATTTTTCCTTACATATAAATCACAAAACATGGTCAAAGGGAGGTGTGTGAATAGTGCTAAAGTCACAACGTGTCAACTTATAAAAAATGGAGGTAGTAATATATAAGGAAAAAAAATTGAGACTTTACCAATTGAGTCTCTCCGCAGGGCAGTTAAATGAGCACAGCTGCAACACCATAAAAAAATGTGTGAAAAAGTAAACGACAAATGTCATCAAAGAAAATCAGATGTGCAGAAACCGCCATTGGGAGGCAAAGGAGAAATAAGAGAAGGCTGCAGTTAACAGGCACATAAACAAAGATTGAGAGTCTTGATACTAGTAAATCAACCATAATATTGCTATTTGTCTCTGATACGTAGTAATTAAGGAGTAATTAAACTATCCAAGTTTTTTATCTCTAGTTTTATCAATTTAATACTCAATCAATCAATCAATCAAAGCCTTAATCCCATAACGGGGGTCGGCTACATAAACCAAATTTAATTATTCCATGTGGTCATCCAAAAATAACTTCCTCCTCCATCACTTACAATCCAATACCTCATCCTCATGCAAGTCTATATATTTCATATCCTTCCTAACTCCTTCCAACCTAGTCAATTTAATCCTCAATCTATTTCTAACATTTAATAAGTGTTTTTGCTCTTAATTATCTGGCCAATAAAACACCCTTTTTCCAGATCTTTTAATCCCTAGCTGCAACTGATCCTAAACTCTCTCTCTACAGCTCTTCTAGATCCCCCGGCACCTCCAGTCAATCACCTGCCATAGCTGGGATTAATTCAATTAGATAGTAAATGGATATCACTAAATGTTCTGGATCAACTATCTTGTAAGATTTTGCATCGCCTTTTTGCATATCTATATTCTCACTTCTATTATTTGTTTCCAATTATAATCAGCCTAGTAACGCAGCTACATTATTGAATAGTGTTATACCCAGGCTAAACAAACACACATAAATATTACAGATTATTGTAGGAGGTAATAATTAACTCATTGTTACAAAATAAAATATAGCAGTGTGCATGTGCACACACACACTCTACCTTCAATAGACCTAACCTCGCCACACACACACAGTGAGTTAATGGCTCCATTCCTTTTGAGTGGTTACACTTTTTACATTCGTTCATTCCTTTAGTTGGTTACACTTTCTATATTCATTCATTTCCTTTTGTTGATTACACTTTTTTTTCTCTGTATTGGAAAAAGTTTCCTTAACACAAAGCCACTTAAAACAATGTGTCTCTATCTCCTACTTTTTCTTACACGATCATGTACCCCATTTCTTATACTCTCTCCTACTCTCCTTGGTCTACAGCTACAGTTAGTGTAGCACCAAAAAAAACAGAGGAAGTGCTAGGATGTTGATCTGTTTACAAATTAAGATGAAAAATTATGTCAAATTAAAAAGAATTGCACAATAATTAAAATTTTATTACAGTATATACATACATTACCTGTCTTTTTGCAATCAAGGGGTAAATAAATATATAAAAGAGTGTAGCCTAGGAAGAAGATATGTTAAAGCATCATGATAAATAGCAAAGTAACAAGCCATTCTAATAGAAGGGAGCTTTACAAGATTACAACAAAAATAAATTACCTTCCAAGAGCCTTCCCCAAGTCTGCGCAGAGGGATCGAACGTATGTGCCTTTTGAACAGGTAACTCGAAATATCAAATTCTGCCTGCAAACATATTGATAATGTAAGTATGTGGATAGACTCCTTGCTAGCATCTTTTAGCCAACCCTAGATGTGGTCAGATTAATACTACCCCTGTTTTCAAAAGTTCGGAACACTTTGACTTTTGTTACCAGTTACAAATCCACTTACCAATCACCATTCGGATTTATATGTAAGGAATAAGGAAATTATACATAAATGTAGGGTCTTGTTAGATACTTAGATTTGTCTCGGAACTCTGGCTATTTATTATTTTACAAAAACATAATTAGAGATATTATTGGTCAAACTTTTACAATGGCAGTTGTGAATATGTAATGTGTAAAGAACTTTTAGAAATAAAGGTGGTAACTGGTAATAGATTGTCAAAGTTATGTAGATCCCAAAACAAAAAACAATGGCAAGGGCACATGGTACTAGATTTTGGATATCACATGCATAATATCTTGCTGTAACTAACATTTTTTTCACCTAAATTAGTGGTATTGATCATGCTATGAATCTTATGATTGGCATGTGTCCTAGTAATATTTTACAAATTATTCAAACTATAGGATTGTAATTAATGGTAAACAGAAGTAGATTGGAGATGGGCCCTCAATTTAGGACAAAAATTTAAGGCAAGATTAATGATGGCAACCTAAAGCAATAATAAGAGATTCATACAGATCACACTTAAGGTCACTCTTGCCCTTGTGCAAACATACAGAAAAGAACACCAGTATGCCAAAGATTGGTAGAGTTGTGCGAGTCAAGTTAAAGCTCCTCCGGCCATTTCTCTCCGTAAATTTTGCTTTCTCAATAATTTTATTAATCTAACTTCTATTCACATTTAACTTAACTCGGGAGGAATTTTTGAAGTATAATTTTATTTAAGGACCTTGTGGCTAAAATTGTAGTTTCAAGGTTGAGCTCATCTCTAGGGTTTTCAACTTTGCTTAAACTTTTGATAATTTCTTTAGCCGACATTTTGATATATTAAATGTTTAAATGGGTAAAAGACAAACATATACAGATCTTTTAGTTGTTGTATTACTTAACATGCCCAAGACATTCATTGCGTACTAAATATACTTCACCAATATTGATAATGTACTAAATATAATTCACCCACCAAATTCTATTTCCAATACCATAAAAACTCATGCAAGTATTGAAACCCCCGCTCATATACAGCCAAATACTAAATGAAACTAAGCATATTAAGGTGCAACAAGTAAAATTCTTAAAAATTAGATGACAGACACGTAATCAGATGGGAAATAATAAGACACATGGAAAAATGGAGGTGCTGAGATACATATGCAAAACAATAACCATAAAGTGCACCTCCAGAATGCAAAGAGATAGTCAAACTATTAACAAAGAAATAGGCAAGTATCAGAATTCTTGCCTTCCTATAGCTGAGTTCTAACTGACCTGTCTTCTAGGCTGCGCTCAATGTCAAACTGAAATATTGAAACTCGTCGAGGGGAAAGTTCAATGCTTTCTCCTCTCCTGGCTTTCTCATACATTTTTTCACCACCAATCTATATATTGGAATACATCAAACAATATCAGCGTTAAAAATTCACCAGCAACAATTACAATACAATGTTCCTAAACAATGTTGTAAAATCTTAAAGGAGGCATACATTTGCATTTCATACTTCATATACAACAAACTACAAACATTTCAAGAAATAAACTCAATCAAAACTAAAATTAAAGGACAGAAAAAATGTTAGATATCTCTATAGGATCCAGTGAAAATTATACTTAATGTGAGAAGGTGAGAAAGATCTAGATACAATAAGTATATACTTGCACATTGATTATAAACAGTAGGTACAATGAGTGTAGACCATCGACACAATTAATATACTTATATACGCAATAATTACGTGTATAGACAAGCAATTCATTAGAATGATTGCACTAACAGCAACATGTGCACAGTATATCAAGAGTTCTTAGTATAATAGTATGGTTAGACCATCCATAGATTAAGTAGATAAGTCAAGGGGTCGTTTGGTAGGGGGCTTAAGGAAAGAGCAAGGGAATGAACACTTTTGATTCCCCTGTTGTTTGTGGGATCATTCTTTCCATTCTCTTTACCTTCTTGTTTCCCCCACTTTCCCTTAACATGATTCTCTCCACCCCACCCCACCCCTCCCCCCAACCCACTAAGTGGTTCATCCAAGGGATTGATTTGTTTACAGTCACCTACCTTCATCGCTACTCAACCACCAATATTACCCAATCATCCATGCCGACCACCTGCACCCAACCAAAACCATCCTACCACCAACAGACCCACTCCTCACCTCAACCAATGCCCGAAAAAACTCTCCCTCCACCCGAAAATCTCCAGCCACCCATTAAAAACCTTGCACTCACCGAAAACCTTCATCTCGTCCACAGAAACCCTCCTTGCAACCGGAAAACCATCCCCCCAACCACGCAGAACCCTCCTGCCTCCGCCCAACCCCGATCACCCTGTCTTAACCATTCCCCACCCGCAAAACACCCACACGAAACGCAAAACCTGAGAAAGAAAGAATGAAAGAGAAATGAAAAGGGAAAGGGCTAATTATGGTAGTCTTCTTGTTGGTCATCGCCACCTCGCTAGAGAGGGCAGGATGATGTTGGTCGTTGTTATTGTTATTGTTGGCCTAAAAAGAGTAAGATTATTGTGGTTGAATATCTTAGTTGTGATGAATATTGTGCAATGGTGGATTGGTGATGGTTGTTTCTGTTCCCTGTCAACTCGTATCTGTACAAACATCTAAGAAGTAAGATTTTTCTTTCCTTTCTCCTTGTATCCCCCCCCACCCCCCTAACACACACACACACACACACACACACACACACACACACACACACACAATACAAACTAGAGGTAAAGGTTGAAGCTTTGATTTATATTAGCAAATGGCTTACAACTAGTAGCTTGAGGTTACCTCTTACCAGTCTCTAAAATAGTGAGTTTAGGTCACAAGTCTCTTTAAACTATACTATAAATCTGCCTATCTTCTTTCTATTTCCCCCACCAGTTTATATTACAAAGTCTCATCCCTAGGTTGATTCTAGTCTTCACTGATTTGTCTCACATGCACAGGTGATGATTGATTTGGCTGCTCCTGCTGTTCTCGGTTGCCATTGGTTTTGTCTTCTTCTGGTATAAGTGAGGATCACGGGTGGCCTATCTTGATCCATCACAATTTTAAAAAGATACAGAAAAGAATGAAGCCTAAACACTCCTAACTGCAGTAGACCAATTCAACTTATGTAGGACACAAATTGGGGCAATTTGATAAACAATTATCTCCAAGTCTAACCATTTTAACAATGCTCATTGACTCCTAGCTCATCTGACCCAACCACATGTTTTGCAAATTCACATTCCCGACACATACAACAACCTTTCCCTATGGTAAGCCCCATGACTGACTATCTGCACTTTTCTACCAAATTCCAGGCAATTTCCACCAGGAGAGCTTTAGAATACCTACTAAGCACTGCTACTGCTTGTAATTGCATCACATTACAGCCATTTATCAACGGCGTTACAGCTCAAATTACATTTTGTCAAGTTTTGGCGGGAAAATCGGTTACTAGAGTTTGTTAGCCGGTTTTGTCCTTATCCTGGTCGTTAGAAAATAAGATTCTTTTTGCTTTTCTGTATTTAGATTGATTAGCTGGCTATATAACTGAATGAATGTATTAATTTCATTAACCAATTAATACACTGAATCTAATCTTCTCTCTTTCTCTCTCTTCTCTTTCTCTCTCTATTCTGTTACTTCTTCTCCTTCCTCTCTATCTTTCTATTTTCTGAAACTTTCTGCTGATTTCTGAGCTAAGAAATCAGATAAGGTTTCCGACCTTATCACAATGTCACTGAATATCCAGTTATAGAGACCTGACACCCAGTCAAAGTTTCCAGAAATAAGGCAGAGATGGTGAGGGAATAAAAACGATCAAGCATTGGGGGTAGTACTCTTGCCTGTAGTCAGGATGCACAGCAAGATTTACAAATACAATTTTTTACATTTAATTTATCCCTAAGACTAATAGCTCTAGTACCTAGAGACCTAGAATAAGACAGACACGAAACATTAGACTGATGACCAGACCAATTGACCAAAAACTAAAAGGAATCACTCTTTGCTATCAGTTTATTCCATGCATGAACAACTATAAACAGTATTTTCATTTCTTCTTTTGTTATCACTCTCCCAAAACCCAACCCTCCTGTTGCCTTCAGACAACACACCAAATTCCATTTCACAAGGTAATCTTATCACACCTCTCTATCCCCCAACTAAAAGTATTCCCTCATCAACTTATAGAAGTCGGCGTAATAGCTGACACCAATACTGTTGGTCTAGTTCAGTGGTTTTTACAGCCTCACCGGAACCACTAGAGAGAAAAGTCGCGTGAAAGAAAACTTGTCTGCATGCCGTAGATATGTCCAAGAGACCTTTTCTTGTTGGAGGAGAGGGGGGTGAAATTTCAATGTTATGATGGGGGACGGCAATAGAGTTGTCTTGCCGTTCTTTAGATATCCTCAAAGAACAATGGCGTCATATCCATCAAAGTAATCTGTGCCCATTTTTGGCAAGATGTTCCAGTTACGTATTTTTGGCGTATCCAGCTTATACGCATCCCCGGTAGGCCAGTACTTTCTATGTTTTCCAACCTCCACTTTCGGAGACCTTCACCTTTTGCAGAAATTTGTAAAAAAGAATGCACAAAGTCTAATACTTTAGGATGCTCTTTTGACGATTCAACTGAATATTTTAGCTAAATGAAGGGTTCTTAGAGAATAGAAATATAGAACTATGTCAACAATTGTTTTAATGTTTGTAGCTTCATCATGCACTCTTGATATCTTAGCTGCAATTTCTAGGTAAATTTAAAGATATAGAATAGCTAGACTTACTTTGATTGCAGAAAACATAGGAGGAACTTGCCAAATTTCACCGGTAAAGGATGCAACAGCCTTTCTTATGTCATCATCCTTGATATGTTCCCATGGTTCCCGTTGAATTACCTGGGAAAAAAACATGTTACATTCTAATGGGATAGCAGCTACAAAATTTAGATGAAAATAAATATCTACAATGCGTATATAAATTTTATTTCCATCGTGCAATAGATCGCAATGCACAAATATAATAGATACTATCAAAAAAAAATCAGGTACTCTTCTAATGATACAAATTGCAAATGAAACTAACCAGATATTTGAACAAAAAGCTTGAGAAGTACACTTTTCTGTCTTATGCAATATGAAGGACTATCACAGTCCTAAGACACAATTGAATGTTATGGAACGGGTCAATAAGGTCAACAAAGCTATCGGACCAATTCAACCACCACTTTTGGTGTACTCCAGGCGCGCAAAACAGGGGCAGCAGCAAGGGTCAATTGTGAGAAGGAACAATGAACAACAGGACAAGGCCAATTAAGGGGAAGTTGAGGAAAGAAGGCAGCCTCCTTTAATCATAACCTTTGTGGGTTTCTATTTTAGTTAATTAATGTCACATGTTCTAGTTAAGTCTTGAGTATATGTATTGTAGTTAGGGTCAGTAGAGACCATCCAGAAATTAGTGAAAACACATGAGAGACTTGTGGCCTCAAGCTACTGTGAGATTCATAACCTCAAGTTATGCCTATCCCTTGTAATTCAATCATCAGTGAATCAAATACTCAAGTTTAAGCCTTGGTTCTTGCAAATTGTCTTAAATTATAATTGCAGTAAGTTAGTCTATTACATTGAAGCTACAAACTCATGACTCATATACATTTCATCTATAAAAACACAAAAAGCCACATGTCATTTTTACTTTTTACTCCTATTCTTCTTGGAAAAAATATGAAAAGGAGTAATGAAGATCATTAATGATCATTCAATTTACATTCTTTCTCCTATTTATCTCTTTTCCCTAAATTTATTTTTGACCTAGCCCTTACCTCTCTCATTTTTATCATCTTTCTCCATTCCTTCTAGATTACACCTCATGCGTTGCACGGACTATAAGAGTGGTTTGATAAATTATTAATTAGTGATAGCAACAATAAGGACTCAAGCAGTCATCTTACTAGTTTGGAATGACCAAAGTGACATTGCATACATCTAGCATTATCAAGACACATCATTGGGTGCAATTTATACTGAATCACAGTGGTAATGGTAATTTTGAAATTTTCTCTCAATTAGTTGAATTGATTATAGCCTTATACATCCTTTGTTATCCTTAGTTATAATCATTTCCATTTCCATTCGTTTTTCAAGTTCTACTCATTCTCATATATTCCTTTTTATCAAATCCTTTTATTCATTTTTTATCATACACAATCCTACATTGAGGCCCAATTATATTTAATAAAACCCTACTCTCTATCTTTCTAAAGCAAGTACCCACATGCATGGTCCCTCTTTTCCATTTTCTTGGGTTTGAGGAACTCAATAAAGTGGAGGGAGTATTGATAAGGCTGCAACTATTTGAGCATCAAATCTTGCATAAGGTGATTCACACAAGTGAAGGTTGTTGATGTTGTAGTAACCGCACGGAATTTACAAGTATCCGTCCCTTTTTCTATAAAGAATTGCCTCTGTACACTACGGGGGGGAATAAAAAGAAAAAAAAAAGGAATGAATTTCTCAAAAATAATGCCTAACAAGCATATCGAGGTGAGTAGTAGTATAGATAGGTGATGAGCGTCATTTATGGCGCTCAAAATAAGAAGTTATAGGTCCTTTTTCCATATTTTCTTTTATCATTTTCCTCTAATTTTCTTAGTTTTCTTTGGTATTCCATTTTAGTAACTCATTTTGGTTTTCGATTAGTTTTTATGATTTTATCATACTTTTAGTTCTTAATTCGTAGTTTTAGTATAGTTTTATTTTATTTTGTTTTCCCCCTTAGTTTTATTTGTGTTTTGTTGGTGAACATTCAAAGTTCCAAATTGCCACACTCTCGTGATTACGCTTGTGCTCTCATTGATTTTGGTGATGAACAAGCAAAATATGAGCATTTGGGCTGCCTTGCTCGTGGGCATCACGTGAGGATGACGGTCGAGAGCAGACGAGCCCACCATACCTTCTCACGCACAACCTCACCTGCTCACCACTCACTTAACTCAGCTCCCCTAATTCACCACCACCAACAACAAGCTATTAACCCACAACCGCAACAAACAACCAGCCACCGAGACAAATCGCCGCAGCTCCCTAATCTACATATTTGTGGTAAGAAGGTGTTGCTTCCTAAAGTGAATTTGAAGCCAAGAGTGAGTTTTTGCTACAACCACGTGAGGTTTCATTTTTCTAGCCTTCTACCTATCTTGTGTGAGTGGCATGGATCCTTGACTACTGCATTCTCTTATCTAGAACTTAACTATAATCTCCTAAAATCGCGACCGAACCATTTCAGAAGGATAAAGGCATCTTTTTGGGATGGTTATTTTTACTTTCTACGTTTAGTTTTATCATTTTTGGTTTTTGGTTTACATTTGCCACCTTGCTAACCTTTTGAGCCTTATCCGCTTTTTTCTAGCCATATCTAGCTCTATAACCATTTGTTTCATTTTCTTTTCCATTTTTGGTTTTTGTGAGGCATATGGTCTATGGTTTGTTGGTGTTTATGGAGGATTATGTATGGATGTTTGCTTCTTTTAGAGAGCAAGTTTATATTATACATAGTTTGTGAATAAAGGCAAATGCAAGTTAAAAAAGTCGTCTACAATTAAAAAAGGCGAGGACAAAGCACTAAAGCATGAATTTAAAAAGAAAAAAAAGAGCAAAAGCAAATGCATTAAATAAAAAATTATAAAAAAATAAAAAATAAAAAAAAAAAAAAAAGAGAAGAAAAAAAGAAAAATGAAAAGCATAAAAATATTTTGTGTAATCATTATCTCCCTAATTTAGAGAATTAAGGATAATGCTCCATTTAAGCTTGGGTGAAGCTTGTCTACGCTTTTTGTATATATGTTTGTGATTTTGCTTTGAATAAGCTTGGGGTTGTTTGGTGTTTTTATTTGGTGATGACTTGACTATGATGTTGAGGATTAATTACCCTTTGCTTTACAAATCAGGTATACCACCAAATTTCAAATTTTAGCCTACCTTTACCCTCTTTGCTCATACATTACAACCCTTTCTATGACCTTTTGACCTTTGTTGTAGAGTCACAAGTAGGTGGAGGGAGATGTGAGTCAAGCCTATGGAGTAAGTTTAAATAGTCAAGACGCCGAGTAGCCCTAAATCTCTTCTTTTCTGGTTCCTTCCATGAATCATTAAGATACTCACTAGAGGTGGATTTGAAACTAGTAAGAAGAACGAGGTAAGATTGTTTGGAATGAAGGTGAATTGTGCCTTATTGGTTCTATATGCCTAGCGTATTTTATGTTTTAATCAACCTTGGATATCTTGGAACGTGCAACCCTTTTGCTTGTTTAGAAATCTTTATATCTATTTGTGTTTGTCTATTTACGAAGGTCCGTTTCAAAAGCATTTGTGTTCTTTTTATTTTTTATTTTATTTTCCTTTTATGCTTTGCCTCGTTTTACTTTGAGAGTTACGAGTTAAGCTCTTTGGAAACCGTTACGAGACCTCACTAGTCCTCATTGGCGACTTTTTGGTTTAAGGGCTTGTTGTAACTAAAAACAACCGTGATTCCTACGTTAGTGAGTTAGTGTATATTCCCAACCCTCTTTCTTTCTTCTCTTTAATTGAATAAGCTATCATGTGAGTGTCATTTACTTTATTTTTCCTTTTTCTCGCTTTTAGTTTGCTCAAGGACGAGCAAAAGTCTAGTTTGGGGGACTTTTATGAGTGTTATTAATGGCACTCATTTGGTAGCATTTCAAGACGTTTTCTTTCTTTTTATAGTTTTTTCTCTTTAAATAATGCTTTAGTTTCGTTTGTTTATGTTTTGGTTTCGTCATTTCCTTTATTATGTGATTTCTTATGATTTAAGGGTATTTTTGACTTATCTACTTTACTCGCTTTATTTTCTTTTATTGTAGGACTTGTTCGAGGCTCGGGATTTACTTTGGAAGGTTCTCCAAGTCTTTTGGACAAGATCTCATATCATTTGGTTGGCTAGAGTTCAAGATAAGAAGCAAGCCCCCACTCTTGGCATTAACGCTCTCGTGCATCACCCTCATCATATGTATTGGTCATGAACACACTAAAATGAATGAGAAGCGTTAGTGAGGAGTATGCTTGTGAGCGCAAGCACCAAAGCAAGAAGCCGAGTATGCAAGCTGCTAGGCCATCACTATGGTGCGTGAGCGCAGCAAGGGCCATGAGGGGCACAAATCCATGTGTGTGTGGGGCAGGACTATGCGTGCGTGCGCACCACATGGTGGATGAGCCTCATGGCTAGCTTCCTATATATACTTCTTTTCTTCCTATTTTTGGGAATGATGTTTTTACTAGTACAATTTGTAGTTTTCCAAATTAGTAAAGAGAGAAATAAAAGAGAGAAACACTTGTATTTTCAATTTACTTCAATAAAGCTTGGATTTCCCCTTAATCAATGATAATTAGTGAGATTTCTTTCCTTTAATTCTTCTCCTTTGGTTTGATCTTTAGTTTTGGATGTTTGATAATTGTTTGCTTGGTTTAAATTCTTGATTAGTTGCTTAATCATTTGAATTTCTCTTTAATCTTGATTTTCCCTTTGACTGGTTGAAAATGATGATGATCATGATTAGTTTGGTTTTGTTTCTTGAATTAATAATGATTAGTGAGTAGATTTCTTAGAAAGGGTGAAGGGAAGCATGTTAGATGGGTAGTTTGATGTTGATTTAGGGATTTTGATCCATAGATTGTTGTAATTAAATTGATTGATGAATTTATGCATGTGTTTAGCATAAGTGGATTGACCAACCTTGAATTTTAAACTTGATTGCATTGATAATCATGATGACATGACCAATTGATTTGAGATTATTAATTTTCATCTTGTTTGATTTGTGATTCTACAAATTTGTCATCTATAGAAGAAACCTAGCTTGGCAATTAGTCTAGATAGCCTTTTGAACACTTTGAATGCATTTATCATTAGTCCTTGCAACACTATTTGGCTCAATGTACCCCAATTTAGCACCTCTATCATGAAAACATGTGGAACCTAATCCTTAGCATCTTTGTTGTTGATTTGACTCCTTTTATTTGATTGCTTTAGTTGATTTGCTTGACTACACATTCATACACACTTTCGAAATAGCTTAACACATAGACTATAGTAATTGACCCTCCATTCCTCGTAGATCAACTTGGACTTGCCCCTATACTAGGAGTAGGTTTGGTTATAAATTTTGTTGACTTGGGAAGACCAGCCTAACAACCCTAGTTTCACCCCATGTCAATAGGTTAGGTAAGTCCAAAACTGGTGAATAAAGCCACAAATCAACAACACTAATTCTTAGTGGCACTCATTTTGGGGGTAGGAAGTAATAGTGATACTCAGCTTGATTTTCTTTTTTCCTTTTTATTTTTCCTTTTGTGGTTTTAGTTGAATAAAGAAAGACTATAACTAATTAACTGAAATAGTGTGACTAAAAGAATTGTATTTCAAGAAACACAGTCGATACCAAGGAGCATTGGACAGACCGGTGAATCTGCATCCCAAGTGGAAGTTGCCTCCCCTAGACGGAAAACTCCACTGTAGCCCTTAATCATACCCTGATACCTGCAGCAATAGTATTAAATTCAGGAATCTGATGTCTATGATAGGATGTAGCTCAGATGACCAAAAAAGGATAGTAGAAAAGTCATTGTTATGCTTGAAAACTAACTTGTCAGCCAATTTAGTAGCTTTCCCAACACAAACAATCAACAGGCCAGTAGCCATAGGGTCTAGTGTTCCGGCATGTCCTACCTGTATCACAATAATTATTTGAGGATAATACATTGCAAAGGAAAGAAGCAATCAAAGTAGCATAAAATATAGAAAACAAGCAGCATACCTTTTTGACTTTAGTCAGACGACGCAGCTTGCCACAGACTGTGAATGAGGTCCAACCTGTACAGTACAGGAGTCAATTTAGTTTACAGATTCATAGCCCATATGATCATCAATTTTGTTGGTTAATCAGCAAGCCAGCATTTATTTGGCCACATCACTACATTTTACAGATTAAACTTACCACAGGCATGATATTGGGCCATGACAGCCACAAAATCCACAATGCCAGAATAATTTGTTCTGCGGCAAACCCATGCATTTCAAACCCAGCCTGAGTTATATAACTAATTATAATCTCAAGGTCATGATTGTGTAAGCATATACATAGGCTAATATTAACTACCACTATTTCAAAAGGTTCTCAATTTCTCACAGATCGTGTAACAACTTTTTGTGGCATCTTATCACAAAGTCAATAGACAACAGTGTGAATGACTAGAATTTGTTTTCAAATAAGAAGTAATGCATAGTGCAGTAGTTATAGTACTTCAGTAAAAGCCACATAAATAAGCATATCCCAGCAGAATACTATTGCCATAGAAGCATGGTTAATATAAAAAAAAACCTTACTGACCCATAATTAAAAAGAATCATTGAATATTTCATAATGACTAAACAACTTCGCACTACTAAGGGTCAGTTGGTAAGAGCCTCCCTCCCGATTCCAGGGATCATGAGATCGATTTTCATACTCTGGCAATTTCTTGGGGGCTTTCATCCAGTGTACAAAAGCGTCGAGGGTACAGTACTTTTTGCTCTAGGCAAGACATATTCAAAGAGGCGCACCAATAGCGCATGAGGCGCACTTCAGTACATATTTTTTAGTTGTTTATATTGTAAGCATCACTTCAAGAAGGCAACCGAAGCGTGCCCAAGGCACACCTAGGCAGCACGCCTTGAGCTATTTTATACATTGATTTCATCCACAAACGCAAAGTTAATGACTAGCTGATATTGCTCATCCTCATTTAGCTATTGCATTAATATTCTTGTTGCTAGTCATACATATAAAACAAACCTTGTTTTTGTTTGAAGATTAAATCTAAACTTTGCTTCATTTAAAAATGATCTCAATCAGAAAATTTACCCTAATAGGAAAATGAGCTTCGCTCTTCTAGGAACTAGGCATTCTCATGGTTCACAAGAAGAAAGCTTGACTCATCCTTTGTCGTGTTTAGAAAGAGATGATGAAGATGATAAGGATGATGATGACGATGATGAGTTTTCACCCTACCTTTCAATCAATACAAATTTCATAGAGCTGGGTAAGGCAATAATAATAGTTGTCTTTGGAAAGAAGCAGCTTATTGGATACTTAGCAAAAGCAGTTATTCTCTAACTTTCTTGGTAGTGACACTTGAATGACCCCTAAAAAGACCTTGCGTCAATCAACAAGATTTAAGTTTGAAAATTGAATTAAGCTCAACCACTCCGCAAGTATCTTATAATATTATAATTCATAGAAACACAACTGCCAATCCTTCAACCATTTCAATATCCAGCATCAACCAAACATATGACTGTCCTTCATAAGAACAATAATGTACTTTTATGTAATTGTCTTTCCCCTTGAAATGTTGAGACTCTTGGGAGTTCCTTCCATCTCCTCTCAGATCTCTTATATTGCTATCCTTACCTTCTAAACTCATGAGAGCCTTCCACATCCATCCCCTAGCCAGCTCATCAACCCACCCGTGCCTTGCAAACAGTTCAACCACTCATTCATTCTACGAACAACAGACAAGTTTGGGACAGGGCAGCCCATGCCCTTTTCCCATATATTGATTTTTTGCCTGCTTTCCTTGCTTATTATGTTCATCAATAGGAGGTTAAAACAGCTATGGCTGTAAACAAAAATGTCCCTATTCAAAAGATTTTATACAATTCCCTTCATAGCTCACATTAACTACACAAACTTCTTGTCTCTTAAAATGGAGATGTGCAATTTTTAACACATGGAATTTCTCCCCTCTTCAGTCCTCAAAGTTGACATTAGATTTTTCCACTGCCACCAAATTATGCATCAATGGTCTCCCCACATGGTTCAGAAAGCAGCTTTATATTCATTGGGGCACTTTATTTCCATCTATTTTCAAAGCTAGTTAGTTCAACAAGTGAGTTGTTACACTAACTAAATTACTTCTATGACAAACAGTCCTTTTGTTCAGTAGACCAAAACCCTCAATGGGAGGACTTTCACTTCACATCCTGAATTGACAATTCGCTTACCAGGAATGAACCACTTAAAGAAAGCAAGTATTCAATGCCTATTACCTTAGCCACAGATTTCATGAATGAGCTCCACTCTACTAAGAGTATATCTCTTCTCTTGAATTTTAATTATCTGAACTAATAAACCCTCAACTCCCCTTACATGAATTTATCAACTGATTGCCTGTGAAGTTTCATTCTGAGCTTATCTGATGAGTTAATTATAGTTTTGAATTGAACTCCTGGTAATATTTGAACAAAATGGAAAACTAGATTTTAAGAAAATAAAATTGAAAGAAAACTCTTTCATTTTTTCAAAAGTTGATAAGAGCTTTATTTGACACCTGGATCATTTAAAGATCCTAAAATACAGCCCCTACAGCAAGAAGCTTTAGAAAAGCACTTTCTTTTGTTAAAAAGCCAAAATACATGTGTGGTGCAATCAAAGAGACTAAGCTTATTATAGAAAGCTACATTAGGATTCAAGAAGCCCAATAATTTGTGAACCACTATTGATTGGGCTCTAAGCAATGCAAGTGTAACAGGCTAACAGCTGCTCACTGCATAATCTTTCACGTGGCCTGTCCAATCTGCCTTCTGTGCTCAAATGCAATCCATGCAGCGGTTGCATATAATAGCTATTTCTGCTAATGCAAACAAATTATTCTCACATATTTTTACTTTCATAACATTCCAAGTAAACAGAATTTAACAAGCATTGTTGTCAAAATTTGGATTTGAGTTGTATAATTGTATATACTTCGTATATACATATTCAATGACATAAAACGGTGTAAGTTAAAATGAAAACAAAACAACTTTTGTCTTCCAGTAGCTCAAAAGGTGCAAGATGTTCTAGGCTACATGGATCGGTTAATCATGTTGCAACAGGTTTTTAACCCATTTCCATCTATTTCAAGATCAAATCATCAATGTACTATGATCAACTAGCCAAGCAAATCAACACGAAAGCAGCATACACAAGACAAAGATAATCAATCACAATTTCCAATTTAGTATGCAGAGAAATTGATACTATAAATACTAAACCAATTCTGAGTTAATATACATTAGCAAGACTATTGAACAAAATTTATAACTCGAAACGATAAATAAGAACAAACTCTCACCTTTAGGCTTGTTCACTAAAACAACAGTTCCAGCAGGACTATCCCATTTATGAGGTAATCCAGAAGTTCTAGAAGCCAAAAAAGGCTGATCAACACCACAAACTTCATCATTCTTATTAGGGACTTTCTTCAAACACTTAAAAAACTCCTCTACCTTCTTCTCAAATACATCCTTAACCCCACCCCCACTAACCTTCCCACCATCACTTCCTTCCTCAAAGAAAACCAACCCTTTATCCTCCTCACCCTTCCCCACACTATCAACCCTCTTCTTCTTCGCCCGCCCTTTTGAATCACTCGAAATTGATTGCCCGGGTTCTAAAAATGCCTTATCTAAACACTGATCAGGAAAATACTTCTTCTCCAATTGATACATCATCTTATAATGCTTATCCTTTTCCCAAGGAAAAGCCAAAGCATCATAGAAATACAACTCTTCTTCTCTCTTATGCAATGTTCTTGGCTCAACAACTTCAGGCCTCAATTCGACGAATTCGCCCTTTTCCCTAATCTTCCTCCTCTCATCATCAGAATCATCGCCAAACATTCTTTTTTCCCTTTTCTTGTAAAATTTCCTCTTAGCCTTATCCAACCCCTCCAACCTATTGACACTATTAGCTTTACTGAATCTTACATTATCATTCTGGGTAAGTTTCATGTCAACCCAATCCTCGAAACTGGAAGATGGGTCGGGCTCTGGCGAATCAGAATCGGATAAATTTGTGGGTTTTGAGTGAGGAGGAGAAGGGAGTTTGGTGGGGGAAACTCGGGGAGAAGGGTGGGAAATAATCATGTCGTATTGTAGAGGGAAAGGGGTTGAAGGAGAAGAGAAGGGTCGAGTTTGAGGGAGGAAACATTTTGTGGGTTGAAAATATGGGATGGGAAGACGCTTTGAAGAGTGGAGGAGGAGGAGAGAGAAAGGGGAAAATTGAAGTGACTTACAGACGGCCGCCATTGTTGTTCTGGTTGTGGTATTACAGTTAAGCGTTAGAGCATTGGTGCTAAGGATAACTAAGCAGATTTTTTTTTTTTTTTTTTTTTGACACAAACCAACCAGATACTTAGGGCATGTTCTCATTAACTGAACTCAGCTGAACTGAAATGAAATGAACTGAAATGAAATGAATATTTTATAAGAGAAGAAAATTAGGAGCTGAACTGTACTGAACTGAACTGAACTGAATTTCAACGTATGTGAACAGGCCCTTACGCCCCGTTCTTTTTGAGCTTTTGGGCAGAATAGAGCAGATTTCAGCAAAGCAGATTGAAACAGAGCAGTGCCCGGATTATTTATTGAATTTTACTTCCTCCGTTTTAAATACTTGCTCCATTTCTCCATGTGCAGATTTTTAGGAGAAATTAGAGAAAGTAATAATATATGAAGATAGTGGGGTTGGTAGAAAAATAAAAAATTGTACTCCCTCCGTTTCAATTTGTTAGTCCCATATACTATTTTGGGCGTTTCAAAAAGATCTACCCATATTGAATGTATTCTACTTTTAACTTAGTTTTTATTTTCTATTTTATACCTATTAAATTATGATTGGTTAAATTAATGATTATGCATTGATGACATGAGTCTAAGGGCCTGTTCTCATTGACTGAACTCAGCTGAATTGAGTTGAACTGAATTGAGCTGAATTGAACTAAACTAAACTGAATTGAAATGAATATTTTATAAGAGAAGGAAATTAGGAGCTGAGCTGAACTGAACTGTACTGAGCTGAACTGAACTGAACTGAACTGAATTTTAACGTAAGAGAACAGGCCCTAAGTAAAGAAATTATTCCCTTGAATTATGCAATTATACTTGACGGTTTCCTAAAAAAACAAAAAAGATTAAATAAGGCAAAACTATTTATAAATTGTTTTTTATTTTAATGTTAGATTCCAAATATTCTTCTTTTCTTATTTTATGTGATAGATTCCATATGGGACTATCATATTGAAACAGAGGGAGTAAAAAAAATCAAAATTAGTAGAGAGAATGGAAGGAGAGGGAATATGGAATTAATATTGTTGGGTATACTTGGTGAGAGAAGTTAATTAAATATTGTAAAAGATTTTCAAATAATGAAATTGAGCAAGTATTTAAAAACGGACGAAAAAGAAAAGTAGAACAAGTATTTAAAAAAAAAGAGGGAGTAAGATAAATTTGTAATCTATATCTCAACACAAAGTTTTGTATGTGGCTGGCCACATGATGTGGCCAACATACATAACGGGCCCAAGTCGTTTAGGCCCTAACTATTATCGACCTCTTTCTAAAATATAACGGACCCATTACATTTTTCGTTATTTTAGAATTTCAACTGTTTTGTTTGAAATGCTTTTTTTTCTTTTTTCCAAACCGCCATTAACACAGACTTGTCATTTCAATTAAACCGCCATTATTACTCACATCTATTGTCTCTCTCCTCCTACAATTTTCTCTCTCCTTCTGCAATTTTTTCTTTTTTGTTTTCTCTCTAAATTCTCTCTTTGTTATCTCTGTAAATTTTCTCTTTGTTTTCTTTAAATTTTCTTCATTTTCTGAATTATTCAAAATGGTTAAATTGAAGATCATTCAACCTAAGGGAAAGAAAGGATCGTCTTCTTGTAAAATTGTTGATGAATCAGGTAATTTTTTAACCCTAATTTTATCTTTTGAAGAATTTTGACATTATTGTCGTTTTTGCGATTGTTGATTATATGTATTTTGCTCAATTTTGACATTTATCGGCATATTTTGTGAGTGTTTCGTATTGTTTGGAAGTGTTACTTGTTTAATTTGTTGTTTTATTTATTTATTGCTATTTTAAAGGTTATGTGTATGTTTGTTAGGGTTATTGTTGTTATTTTGGCAATTGTTAGGTTTAGATTTGGTTTTGTTGTTGTAGTGCTTAATTTTGTTCTTCGTTTTGTTTGTTGCTATGAATTGTTGATTATATGTATTTTGCTTAATTTTGACATTATCGACACATTTTGCGAGTGTTTCGAAAGTTTTAATTGTTTTAAAGTGTTACTTGTTTAAGTTGTTGTATTTATTTTTTGTTTTTTTCAAAGGTTACGTGTATGTTTGTTAGGGTTATTGTTGTTATTTTGATGATTGTTCGGTTTAGATTTGGCTTTGTTGTTGCAAATGCTTAATTTTGTTTTTTGTTTTGTTTGGTGCTATGATTAGTTAATTGAAGTCTCTATTTGTTTTAGGGCTACTTGTATTGTGTTACTAGTTTGGTCAAGGGTTGCTAGTAAGGTGTTACTGATTTTGGTCAGGGGTTACTTGTTTGGTGTTACTGGTTTGGTATGGGCCTAAAAGAAACCTTTGAATAAGTAACTCATACAAGTAACCCTTGAATAAGTAACTCATACAAATAAACCCTGAAGTAACCAATACAAGTAACCCCTGAATAAGTAACTCATACAAGTAACGCTTTATGAATAAGTAATTCATATAAGTAACTGTTGAATAAGTAACTCATACAGGTAACCCTTGATAACCCATACAGGTAACCCTTGATAAGATATACATGTAACCCCTAAATAACAAATTTATACAAGTAACCCCTGAAAAAAATATACAAGTAACTCCTGAAAAATACAAGTAACCCTTGAATAAGTAATATGTACAAATAACCCCTAAAAAAATACAAGTAACCCCTGAAAAATACAAATACAAGTAACTCTTAAAAAATACAAGTAACCCTGCCAAAACCAGTAACATCCTTGAAAACGCTTATTTTTGTTTTTTGTTTTGTTTGGTGCTATGATTAGTTAATTGAATTCTCTATTTGTTTTAGGGCTACTTTTTATTGTTATTTATTTGTATTTTATTTTTACTATTCTAGTTTTAAGTTTTACGTGTATGTATATTATACTTAATTTTTTTGAGTTTAGTGTGTCTGATGATGTGTTAATTGAGTTCTTTACTTGTTACTTTTATTTTATCACAATTATTGTTATTTTGTTAAGGGCTTGATTGATTGCATATGTTTAGTTGTTTGTTGTTTCTTGGTAGCATTTACGAAGTATTACTGATGTTTTTTTTTTAATTTTGTTGATTCAACAGAGAAATTGAATGTTACACATGATGAGCCTAGTGAAAAAGTAATGGATAAATCAAATGTTATAGAGAATGAGCCTACTGAAGAAGTTGAAGTGGCTAGAGTAATTAAAAAAAAAGGGGGTAGGTTTGTGCTTGATGAAGATGATTTTGAAGAAGAGAACGGTCTTGCTAAGGATTTGAATTCCTCTAAGGATATGAATACAGTTGATCTGAAAGCTAATTAATTATTCAAATGCTGATAATCTCAATACTGATAATTGTAGGAGTTTATAGGTACTATAAAGCGGAAAATCATGAATCGTATTCAATCAAGCACTTAATCCCAAGATCGCATGCATAACACACAAGACATGTTTTGGAGGTTTTTTGTCCCTCGGGAGAGTTACAACACTAAGACTGGATCTAGCAAGGGGCGCCTGTACCTGCAAAATAAACGGACCGCCGGATGGTCGGTGGTCCGCCTCCGAAGATTAAGTTAGTATGTGTCTAGAGTGAATATGTGCGGAAAAGAGGTTATCTGCTTGGATTCCAAGCTCAGGTGTACTGTTTCTTGAGAGTGACAGTTCAGACAATGATTGGTATTCAATCAAGGTTATGTCATAAAAGTTGTCCAAAAGATCAGATCCCCATAAATGAGGGGAATGTTCCCTATTTATAGGGTCCTAGGAATGTGTGCTCTTTCTAGGGTTTCGTGCCCTACGAAAGGGAACGCCGTTTTTTACAGGGGCCCCTTGGGATTTGGGCCTTGAAAGCAGCCATTCCCAAGGGGCTTAACCTGCCTGCCACGTGTCACCATCTAGAAGGTCCAAGGTGGCGCCCCTTCCAGTGACACGAGGCTAGCTCGGATTAGGCCAGTTGGTAGGGTAAAAATACCCAAATCATTTGCCCCTCACAGGGGACACGCGCTTGCCACGTGTCGCCTATGACAGGTGTCAGAATCCGGCTGGCTGGATTTTAAATTTACTATGGAGGGAAAAATTAGGGTTTTACCTCCTCTATAAATAGAAAGGTTTGACCCCCCATTGGATTCACACCTTTGAGAATCTTTGGAGAATCCCTGGACTTCTGACTTTCAAAGACTCTCAAAGACTTAACTTTTCAAGCATCCGACACTCGGCTTTCTGTCCGTCTGTTCCAACAAACCAAGCGTCTCTTAGTACCTTCTTCTAAGGTAACCGCCTGCTCTTTTCTCTTACTTTACATTTTTCCTTTGTTTTTTTTTTAAAATAGTTTCCCAAACGCACGTGGTACGGCATAGGATAGTGATCAGGCGGTCACCGGGGACGGCTGAATCTAGAACTAGCGGTGCCGACTGCTTGGTCAGAGATCCTACTTTGCGAACTTCCCCGAATCCGATCGTTTCTGTGTTTGTGCAGGACACTATGGCCAGAACGAAGAAAACAACAAGGGTTTATAATTCGGATGACACGTATTACCATTCGGAGGGGTTGACTATTTATTCTTGTGGCTCCATTAGGGTTCCTGTCAATGAAGTCTTTGAAACCCCCCAGCACTTCATTTGACCCTCCCCTAACTCCAACTTATCACTCTTCCCCTTCTTCAAGCGGCACCCCCAGTGATACTATACTGTGGGAAGCCGACAACCAATACAGACCCGAGCCTTTAGAACAGGCGTCGGAAGAGAGATTGGGGGAGGACCCTGCTGGCACCAGTCGGCATTCCCCCAGCTCTATTGAGAGTTCAGATGACGATTCGGCCTCGTCATCTTCTAAGAATGCCTCCATTACTTCAGAGGAGGCTAGAACAAAGATAAACACTGCAAGGGAGTCCTTGTCAGTAGAGAAGGGAGAAGGTTGGGCCGAACCAAGTGCTTCTCGGTGCCTGGAACGTGCTCCCTTCTATCATCATGTTCCGCTAAGCAAGCAGACCTCTATGACATCCGGCCTTGCCAATTTTAGGCGCAAGACCGTCATGAGCTATGGCTTTTCCTTGTCTGTGCCAAACAAGGATGATACCATAACTTGGCCCAGCTTG